ATTAAGCAGGATTAATTAGAATTAAAAACGACGAGGTTGAAAAATCACTTTTAATCACGCAACTAGACACTTTTACTCTTTGATAGCTGGGGGTACTACAGGGTCCTACCCATCTCATTGACTAATTTATGTATTGCCTATAAGCTTCATGATTATTCAGTGATTGATCTAAGATCTGCGTACCTCCCCGTGCGGAGAGTGATTACTCTAAAGATTAGATAGTGGTAGTAGGATAGCCTGTCAATTTTCGCATATAATAACTTCAGGGCTCTGTCCCTTATGTATTTTTTGATCGGGTCTATTCTAAGGTCTCTTAGCAATGTTCATTTTATTGTTCATAAAAGTGTGACATCATTTAGGTCTCAGTTTTTTGAAAGATATTTTCATCATTATAGAATCAAAAGGAATAATATAATACCTCAATAATGTATAATAATATAATAGCTTTTTGACTGGATGTGATTTTTGTTAGATCTCTTGCTCACCTCAATGTAATAAATCTTTCCTATTTCAAACCATAGCAAATCTAGTAGTGTTGCAAAACACATTTTGCTTTTATTGCAGAAGTCATTTGTTAAGATTATACTCGAATGGAACGAAAACGGCACCAGAGCAAGACAAAAGCTGATCATTTGCCGCCGAATACTAAAAAACGAGCTTAAAACAAAGTCATTTTAATTCTAAAAACAATAAGAATTCACTAAGACCAGGTTTTAATGGTGCGTATTGCTCAACACGTACGCTCAGAAACAACTACCGACCATTAAAAGGCTTTGAAGTTGCCAGAAGAAGAAAATTTAGACTAATAATTCTCTTCAGTGTGAAACCTTTCGTTAACCTTGTTATATCATTTGGCTTTCTATTCTTTATTGTGATGGCCTTAAAAATACGATATTATTTTTAGTTTTAATGTTATTGCAACTATTTATCACTATTTATCTTAAGTAATTAAGTAATTTCAGTTAAAGAGAACATTTTCCACTTAATTACGAAGTATAGTAATCATCAGTTGTAGATTTGTCCGGTTTTGTCAAAATTTTTACCAAAAAATACTGGTGGTCCTCGGGGAGGTATGCAGATTTGAGGTCAATTATTGCTTAGTCTGATGAAGTGATAAACAATAATCTATTCAAGTTGCAAAGAGGGGTTTTGAAGAAACCTCAAGTTAAAAAAGAGTATAAGTGCTTAAGTTGCATTAGCTCAAAACAGCTTCAACATAATATTAATGTGATCAGGAGAGGCCATTAGTTTCACTTTCGAACAGTATACGATTCGTTTGACGGACTACTTTGTAGATGGGTTTCACTGAAGAAAATAAAAAATTTTTTGTCATTTAACATTTCATATAGAATTAATGTGGAGAAGAATACTTCGTTCTGAAAAGCTGTAGTTTATTGCGTTCACGATAATGTACATATATACTCATATATCCTAATTAATAATTTCGAAATGGTTTTGTCGTACAACTATGAACATTAAACCCGATTCATGGAATACTATCCCTAGCCATTCTCATGCTGTTATGGTTTTTACTCAAAAATTCAGATAATTTAACAAAATATTGTGTACATATTCTAACGTAAGGCACATATTTGCAAAACACAGCTATTATTTACATGTGTAGTATTCGATACCAACATTTTTTATTCATAGAGGTACTGCCGTCATATGTATTCAATTGTAGCATAAATTTTGTGAAATTAATCGTTTAGTCCAAAGTTCATAACTCCCCTTCTTACAATAAAGACATCGCAACGAAGCTCCTAAAATTTTAGTGTTGTAAAAAATGTTAAAAGATGAACCTATAAATGTACAAAATGTCTTACTTAAAATTCTATTTCATCTGTAACATATACAGGCACTCCCTCAAACATTTCCAAAACAAAAAAAAACTGAATATAAAATTTGTTTCAAAGTTTTTAAAATTGTATTTAATTTAGGAGATTTTTTCAGTTTCCATATAAAATTCTTTAACAAAATTACATACATACTTGCAGGGATTGTAACGTGTTTCGCACTTATTCTCTGTACTTATTCATTTTTGCAGATACTTCGTTTTGATGTTCGTACGTCGATCAGATGCAGAGCAATATGCAAAATTATAAATCCAATAACATGCACAGACTCCCCTGAGAAATATATGCAATCAATAGATATGCGCATATATTTATTGTATTTTATAATGAAATTCGATTCGATTTTGCCTTGTTTCGCATTGTTTTGTTTGCTAAGTACGAAGTACGAGTTCGATACTTGAAGCTGTTTTGATTGTTATATATCCACACCGCACAGCTTCACTGTGATTTCTTTGCGGAAAGTATCTTCTCTCTCGTTGCTCTACAATAATGCATCATGCACGAAGTACATATTTATGTGCCGATTTATGCAGTGTTTGTGAATAATTTGTTTTATTCCAAGCAGGGTTTTACAATTCGAAAATATGTTAATGCTTCAATAAGATACATCAAATATTTATGCAACTCTTTTGTATATTATTTGCGATATTTTATATTTTACTGTACTGTATATATTCATTTAAGCATTCGGTTTTTATTTATGTAATTTATTTTAGACTATCTCTATATATTTTTTTTTGGAAAAATCTTTCAAAAATTAAAAAACTGTCAAGAAAAAAACAATAGCTTCAAAAGAAAAAATTAATTTCATAAACTTTGAAAGCAGCAGTTAATACTAGACTGTATGTCCATCCATATTTCATTTAATGTCACACCATTACTTATAATATTCATTTTAATATGCATCTGACTTATATATCTAACTATTAAATAACAAATGTAATTAATTTCTAAGGGACCTTCAAACAAACTTGCTTTGAAGCTGTTAATTCATTATTAAAATGCCTACTAAAATATCGCAAATTGCTATTTAATTCATTCACAAGCTCTGTTAACTGTAAGAAACTTACCGGAACTAAAAGAGATTATGTTAAATTGATGAGATGATGAAAATGAAAATCCCAGCATAAGTTATGTATAATGAATTAGTGGATTTAGTGCTTTAGTGCTTTTACGAAAAGGATTAATCAAAAGAAAATCAAGGAAAAGACATACATTTTCATTTATAACTGACATTTTCGCTTTATGGTAACTTATCGTATTATGGACATACTTGACTTATAAAATGAATAGTTTAATTAAATATTAAGTAAATATTAAATAACAAATAATGACTCAAAGATATACGAATACAATTTAGTGGTAATCATAGTTGAAGTTTTTACAGCTAAATATAGCTATAATATATATATATATATAAAATATATATATAGTAACTTTTAAGAGTATTTAAGTGGCAATAAGAATGTAAAAACAAAATGACGCTATTTGAACACAGATTACATAAAAACGATATGACAAATACTTCCTTAGCATAGCACCTAAGATCATTGAAACGTTTATTGAATAAACGTTATTCATTATAAAGTTATTAAATTGACATTACTTAGTTTTTTTATATAACCCATGTGATATCTTATATAAAAAGTTCTTCAGATTAGGATTAGGCTAAGTTCAAAGAGCGTGTGTTGATGCGAACATAAGCACTTAGACTTGGAAACAGCTATTGCCTATTGTAGCTGCCCATTGTGATGTATTCAGTAGCCAGTACGAGCTGCGCTATAACAATCAACATATATAACTATTAATTTTAGCAAAAATTCTTTATTATTTTAATAAATTCTTATTCTTCATTCTTATACTTATTCATTACATTATTCTTCATATAATGAACGTGGTGTCTCTAAAGTAATCTATAGATATATCCTGATATAGGTCAACTCTAAACTAATTTGACTATGTTATAATTAATTTCCTTTTTTGATTTTTCAATGGTGTAAGATTAATTTACACCTAGTGAGCTCAACCTGTCTTTTTTCCAAAATATCTGAGTCACTGATGATAATAGATTAAGCTTTGCAAATAATGTTTTTTTTAAACTAATAGCGCGAATTCGCCCAACAGCCGTTACTATGGCTAAAAGAGTCCTAATGTACCAAATTCACTTTTAACTATACAAATCCCTTGAAGTTTTGTAAACAAAGTCTGGAATTATATCTGGACAAGAGCTCTTCTGTGTGTTGTTAAAGCTGGACAGCTACCAATAATGTGCATAGTTGTGTTCGTTTCTTAATTTGCATTTCGAATTAGCAGATAAATGGTGCTTATATAGGACACATTTCAGGCCGTAATGTATTACAATACTCGTTACCAATCTTAAAAAAATTTAAGAATGTTTTGGTAGGAGTATGATTTGATGAGAGCTTTGCTTTGTCTGAGTACAGTGAAATCTTCTCAGTACTCCAGACGCAAACCAATTTCCTCCTTCTTGATTATTTATTTCATATTAGCCCAATTGAACCCACAAAACAAGACCTGTAAAAGCGGTTTTTAATGCAGTTCTGACTAATTTATAGCTAGCAAAAAAAATTAGGTTTTAAAGGGTTAATAAAAAATTTAATTTTAAGAGACACGAATTTCGTGTTTCCAGTAACTAAATTTTTTGAAAGTTGAAACTGAAAAATATTTAAGGCATAGACACCCCTTCCTTAATTTTTCTCCTTTCTTGTTAAAATGAAAGATTTCTTGAAACGACTTATTTTTACAGGTGTGAAACGACACAACAATTTATATATAATTTATATTTAATAATTAATAATTGTTTTTAATATATTTTAGATTTATATATGTTTTTATTATAAATAATTAAAATTTTTTACTATAATCGAACTTTTTCATTATATAATGAAATCGTTATATAAATTATAGAACTTAAATAATATATATTTATTTATAATTTATTTGGTACAATGATTTTGAAAATTTTTTTAATTAAATTTAATTTATTTGCTCTCCTTTTTCAGATAAACCAAATATAATAAATGATTTACCAAAAAATAAAAACACAAATACCACAACAAAAATATTAAGCGTTCATTTAAACGCTAAAACATCATTGGACGTTTATTGAAATTTATAAAATAGCATATTAACGGCGACAAAATCACTCCCCCCCAGACAAACGTGTTCGAAAAAACCATCACCATTTCGTCGATTGCGATTAAACGCAGGCCAACGCTGCCGCAAACGCCAGCGAGTGGTGCCCCACAGGTGTTGTCACCCAAACGACAGTGCGCTGCTGCTGTCTCTGTAATTCCCGCCACCGCTCAATTAACACCACAAGTACAATACGCCACATCACCCGCCGCAGCTGCTGCCGCCGCTGCTGTTGCACTTAAAGCCGGTCATCAATTAACTTTTAATCCAGCTGCAGCTGCTGCACAATTAGCTGCCACCGCTGCAGTAACTGCACATACACATCATCCATCACAGATTGCTGCAGCAGCAGCTGCTGCTGCTGCCGCCGCACAGCATCATCGTATTGCCGCTGTAGCTGCTCAACATTTTAATCCCGCCGCTGCAGCATTATTAAATCAGCACTTACATAACGCCACAACACATTCACATCAACAAGCCGCTGCTGTTGCAGCTGCTGCTGTACATCAGCAACAAATCGTATTACAACAACAACATCAACAGCATCAATTGAATCAACAACACGTAGCTGCAGCTGCAGTTGCTGCACACAACTATCAACAACAGCAACAACAGTTGCGACAACAACTACAACAACAACAACACCAACAACAACAACAACAGCAGCATATAATAGTTGCTAACGCCACTTCGGTGGCAACAACAATAACAAATAATCAGAACCAAAACAACAATAATATCAGTACCAATTCAACACCTGCAACAGCTGCAAATACTGCAACAATTGCTGCAGCAGCAAGAGCAGCAGCAAGCGCAAAAATTATTATATCAACTACTGCGTCATCAAGTTCTTCAAACGATTCTCATTCAAATTCGTCATCAACTTCAACAACACCAACACCAGCAACTGTTGTACCAAATACAAACGACACAAGCTTAGTTAGCAACAACATAAACGGAACTATTACAAGCAACAGCGGCAACAACAACAACAACAACAACAGTGTGAACTCACCAACTGCAAATACGACAATGGAAAATCAAATGGCATTAGCACCTTTAGGATTGTCCCAGAGCATGGATTCCGTAAATACAGCGAGCAATGAAGAAGAGGTAAGTTGATACTTTTTTCCACTTTGTGGATTTGTATTTTATTTTTATTCAAATTGTATTATTCAATTGCAAGAATTGTGAACTTATTCAAAGAGGAATGGTATAAAATCCAGATGTAAGAGATATAAATAAGTGTGATCAAAACGTTGATGGTAAAATCCATGCTTTAGATAAAAAAAAATTCAATTTCAAAATGATTTTTTAAAAGTAATTGTTAACAGGTAAACGAATTCCAAGTAAAGTAGATATTTAATTTATTTAAAATTAAACACGAGGGAAATAATTTAAATAGGAAACGGATATTAAGTAATGGATTATAGGAAAAATTTTATTTTTTTATTAATTTAACATTTTAGTTATCCATTCATCTGTTTCGGGTATTACTAAATATTTACCCACAGTGGTTTTTGAAAATACTATTTGGACTAAATTGACAGTATGTAGTTTTTGGACTGCATGTATCAAGAGATCCTTCCAAATTCGAAACAGAGACTAGCGTTTCAGACACCTAATCCAAGACCGTGCTTGAATTATATTATTGAAAGTGGAAGTAATTCGCTGTTTTATATTATAACACATAAATATAAATATCAATGTAATTAACTTTTATTAGCAACAACTATAATACACTTCAGTGGTATAAGCTCATTTTTTGGGGTCCTATTATAGAATGAAGAGCTAAAGTCTTATTCTGCAGTCGCTTCAACTGAAATATTGATCACATTAAATTGAATTTAAAGTATATATTATTTATAACGTTGCCATTATACAACTCTTTCGTTATTAGGATTTTGATTAAGAGTTCTTGGAATTATGATGATTGTTATAAATAGTATATCCCTTGAAATGATTATATTTTAGGTTAGCTTAAGAAGAAGTGCTTGTTAAGTTCCCAACAGTAAACAGTAAAAATGAAGAAGAAAATATATTTTTATTGAAAATATGATAAAACAAAATGTCTATACTAATCACTTCTCAGAAATTTATCTATACGTACAAAAAAAAATACTTTTATTCCTATATACATACATTAGTTTAACGAAACCAACCAATTAAATTTACTTAACATTGTGCGTCAGACTTTCATTCTTATTCGCACTTGCAGATACTTGAAGACATTATTCATGAGAGATGAGTACGTCTACTTACATTCGAATTGAATTCAACTTTATTTACTTGTACGTATACGACGAGTACATTTAAATAAACTGAAAGCTTGAAATAAACCTAAACCTGAACTTAACCAACAAGTCATGCATGTAAAAACATTTGCAATTTTTTTTGTGTTTCTGCAAATCACGCCTTTTTAGATAAAAATAAAAAAAAAGATAAAAATCGTACTAAAATTGGAGAGAAGCAAGATTTTGTATTTGAGACGCATTAAAGCTACACTTCACATAAATCATACACGCAAACAATCAAAGGATAAAGGATGTGTATCTGAAGGATGTGTGTGTGAGTGATGTGTCTTGTATGTGCGTCACTGCATTCTTAAAAATGAATAAAAATGGAAGCGGAAAACCAAAGAAAGAATCACATTACAATGGCAGAGAAGAAAGGCAAAAGGTTGGTAGCAGTGTTGGCAATGTTTGCAATGTTGTCAGGTGAATTGTCAGCTTAGCCTGGTTAACTTGAACAATCTGACAATTGTCGTCTTACTGCTGACTCTTTGTCTATACCTGTGGTTAGTGTGTGTAATTTTAAACAGGGTGTTTTGATAAAAATTTATCATACTCGCTCAAATACAGCTAGTTTAGGATGAAGTATTTGTATTCCAGAATTAACTTATGTATGTACCAGCTACAATATTATTTTCGGTCTTAAATTTCTCTTTTATTTGATCTATATTTTAATGATTATTAAAAATGCTTAAAAATTTTATATAAATATCTATCCAAATACAAGAAATAAAAAAGTCACAGGATGCTATATATATAGAATACGATATATGCGACATTACGGTAATGAAACCAACTGTCGGGTATCTACAAACTCTGCTTTGATTTTTCTACTTTTTTAACGTTATTGGACTTAGTATTAAAGTTTATGTCACTTTCAGTAACTTCTCAACCTGCTATACAATATATTTTATATTTTCAACGTTTCTATTATTATTAGACATTGTTATATATATCTTAGAGCTCAATCAATCTTCTACACAAACTGTTTTAATTTTTCAACGTTTCTATTATTATTGGACATGCTAAAACTTATAACATCTTCAGCATCTTCTCCTCAAATCATTCATACAATTTATGAATTTGTGATGTGTTATATTATTATTATATCAACCTTAGCCTGCATTAATATTTTATACTTCATTTACATGTATACTTTATTCCTTCACTGTATTTAATTCCGTTCTAACTCCACGTAAGCTTTCTCATCCAAATTTTTTCTAGAGAAGTGATCGTCAAATGTACTGTAGTGTGTCTTGTTAATTCTTTTGGCAAACATATTAACTATCACCCAGCTTATTGATAGTTAATATGTATATTTTGGACAGTGCAACCAATACATAAAAAAGATAAGATTTTTTTAACAACGTACAGGCCGTGCTATGTTAACATTCTCGTTACTTTTATAAAAGTATAAAAAAGGAACAGCACCATTGATTTGATAATGCTTTGAGAATATAATATAATCTTATATTGTGTGACCTCTTGTCATTAAATAAGAAGTAAATTAATTTTAGCTCACCTGTTAAAAGTATTCCAAACCTCTTAAAACAAATTATGACGTTATGAATATTTTTTCCTTTTTTGCAGAAATAGCTGAGGATTGTAGTTACTGTAGTTAATATCAAGTATCTTTCGTTGATATTGCAGAATGTTCCAATTATTTCTGTTACTTTTTAAATTGTTGTGTTCATTTTAGAAGAAAAAATATAAATAAATATTCTGGTATTTATATATTTTAGTACCCAATTAGAACTGCAGTATAGTCTACATTAGTAAGTACCCTAATACTGCTGATGTACAAGTGAGGTTACATTTGGAGATCGTTTATCCCACTAAACTGTCGAACCTTAATGTTGCATGTTATCTCTCATTTGTTGCTGCTTAGTGTGTGCTTTATTTAATAGAACAGAATCTTGTAAAAATCATATTTTCCTTTCTTCTCTCTCTCTCTTTCTCTCTCTCTCTCTCTCTCTCTCTCTCTTTCTTTCTTTCTTTCTTTCACGAAGTCCCTAATTTTATAGCTATGTCAAAATTTTTATATGTTCTCTTTTTAAATAAATTCGATCATTTGGTTTGTTTTGGATTTGTTCAATTGTGAAATTTTTATTATTGAAGAAGACTATATTCGCAAATTTTTCACATTCATACAAGCCCATTAATTCTTTCGCACATCTAAATTAATTTTATGGGACATCAATGTTCAAAATTTTGTCCTTTGGTATTTTGTAAGTACATTATTCAGTTTGATTCATTTTTAAACATTATAGAAATTTTGACATTTTCGGTTGTATTGAAAACTGTATTAAAAAAAAAAATATAAATGTAAATATTTAGATATTTGAATATCGATTCGTTTATATGCCAAATTATTATCTTCCATTGTGGCTTGTATTTCCTTTAATTAGCCACAGTTTTCTGAACCATATTTATTGTAATATTGAAGCATTGTAAATTGATTGATGTGGAAAAGTAAGCACTTCATTCTGGCGTTAAATGTAGATCATGTTATACTACATTATCATAGTGGGGATGTGTAAAAATTAATAATTTACTGACATCAAAAGATTCACTACTACAAATGCTGCATAAATTGTAACTCCAACTCTGTTTGCTTAGATGTCCTTTAAAATATTTTAAAATATGTCTCCTAATGTATGATAATATTATTTGAATGACTTCACATCTAAACCCTGTTTAGCTTGAGGAAGACACACAGCTTTTCTGGCTGGTTAAAAGTACCTAAAGTACACATGAAACAAAAACAAATTGTGTACTTGAACAAATGTTTGTAAGGTTGTGTCCTGAAAGCGCGTACTTGTTCCATTGCAAAGCTCCTCCACATACTAGCTTAGGGTTATGTTTTAATAAAAAATAAAAAGTAAAACAACGATTTTGCAGAATAAGTCTGTAGTTGTCGCAAATGCTGCTATACGCATTGATTGACATGTCATAAATGTGTATGAATGCGCTTCAAAAGATACTTTCCCATTTGCATATTTCCACAAAGATGTGAATACTTTTATTTTCATGCATTTATGTATGCTGTTTACTTATGTCATATAAGTGTGTATCTATTATCTTCGCTTTGTTGGTGTGTGTTAGCGTAATAGCGCTAAGCATGTTTTCTTTTCAGCTTAGGTTTGTGATATAGGTTAATGTTGTTATTTCGAGTGGAAAATTCATCATAAAATTTATTTGCACATAGGTGAATTGCATATCAAATGTAAGCACTTGGCTGTGGATTCTCTACTGTTATGAATATACAATACACAATACGTTGTGGTGGGAAAACGAATCTTAAATTATGAAAAATATGGTAAATTATTTCGAAGCATAATTTGTGAAAGCTTCACCTCAGGCTTTTAAGCATTTCATAATATGTTATGAAAAAGTTAAAAATAAAATGATTAAAAAAATTAATTAAATAATTTAATATATTTGTTAATCAATGATTACTATGACGATTGACTTACTCAATTGGATATTATTCTTATATGTCAGTCCTGGTCAGTTCCCATAATCTCTCTCGCCACTTTTGTGGTACGTATGAGTTATAATATAGACAATACAATTACACTGTGATAAGGTACTAACTTCCACCTTAAAAAAGATATTTCGTTCTTTCTGTGAGTTTTATCGCTTAACTAACAACTAATCTTACAAGTACATCTTAACTTACTCCTTATGGAACTATATATTTCAACTATATCTATACCTAAGTGCTCATAGAACTATATAATTTATTTTGAAAAGATATAGTAAACGATTAAAAGTGTTCTCTGACTTTGATCTTAACCGTTTTTATGGAAATTAATTTCAGTTATTTTTTTTTTTTTGTTAGAGCTTTCCAACACACTTTTTAATTAATTAGTTGCGCAACACTTAAAACTCACAGAATACTCGCATGTCATTAATGTTGGCAAAAAGCAGTAGAAAAAAGTCATATTACAAAAAAAAATATTCCTAACGAGGCAAAAAGTCAGTAAAATATTTACGTACAATCAGCCACTGTCATACCATTTTAATTGACTTATCATTTATTCATGCACTCATGTAAAGAGTATCTTTGTTGCACGATAAAAAAAGATACCAAAGAATGACAGTCATGGCAGATACAAACTTATTCCATACACACTTCATACATATTCAACAAAGTATGGATATAGAAGCATATTGTAGCAGAAATTCATAAAATATTTAAACGAACATTTTTTCATAAAAGGAAAAATTAATGCCATAGAAAAATCTGTTATAATGGATTTTGGGCAATTTAATGAAAAAGTGAGATTTTTATTTTCGTGGCTTAACAGCAGATTTATTTAACGGAAAATTTATGGCTTTTACCAAATAAGGCAAAATCGATTATTAAAGAGCCGTAAAATCCTATCAAGTTAAACATATCTTAACGGAAAATATAATATTGCAATTGTCAGAATTTACTATGACGTATACGAGCACGTATATGTTACGCATACGATGTAAAGTATTCTTTCCAAGCTACTGAAAGTACCAGATAGACAGCAAGCTGGTATTCTCACCCAAAAGCATAACTTACGAATACAAGACATTCTGATAAGAGATCACATATTTTAAATATTCTGGGTCGATAGTAAAACTAATATGTGTATATCTATCCATATGGATTGCTATACGACTAAGAATTGAGATATAGGATATAAATAAAATTCTAATAGAGAAATGAAGTTTAAAAATAAAATTTTAAATAAAAAATTGGAATTATACAGGGTATTTGCTCCCAGTGAAGCAAAACAGTGTACAATGGTTGACGTTGTTACTTCTAATTAATCCCAACTGAACAGCTGTTGATGACATTCTAACAACACATAAGGATAAGGAAGTTTTCCTAGCACAATAATCTTCTCCTGAGTCAGATCAAGCCTTTCCTTTAAAAAGACTAGAGATCTCTTCAAAAAATCCGAAATAGGTCTAATTTTCTTAGACAGATCCATTTTTTAAAGTTATATATCAAAGTATTGTGGGTTTTTGTGCTATCCATTTTGAAGATTTTTAAATTTTTTAAAATATTAAACAGCTTATATTTATTGTTCAAACTTCTAAAATTATCAAGATCATTATGGAATATTAAAAAGTTTTTAATGATGGACTTAATTTGCTTGAATTTACAAATAGATTCAAAAAGAATCTTCTACAATCTTTGATAAGTCAACTTCATTACTTAAGAATTTAAAACAAACTAAATCAATTCGTTTCCGTTTCCAGGATTCTTCATTCATTATCTGTCATGAAGAAAAACTTATTCCTGATGATAATAAAGTTACGAGTGGAGATCTTAACGATGGATAGAAGATTTCCATATAGTATCAACGTCTAATGTATTAATTACATTTTTATTATATTTAATTTTTACTAAAAGTACCTTTATAGTCCCTAAGATTTTTCAACGAAACTGCAAATATTCACTTACAAAGTTCTATTACATTTATACTTTTTTACACGATAACTATTATATGTATATGTCAGCAGTGTTATGCACTCCTCAATTGTCTGGAGTCCTTCTTAATCGAAGAAAAATCATATATTTTGCATAAATTTATAACATTTCCGGTGCACAAATTTTTAAAAACTACAAAATCTTGGAATATTTGAATGCAATTTTGTCGATAACAAATTCGGTTTAAACTCATAAATTTTCATCAAAAAAAAAAACAAAATAATTCAAGAGGAAATAAAATATATAAGCGAGTAGTGAGTAGAATTTCTACAAGATAAATAGACTGCATATAACAGCAAGTTCTCTAGAAGTATATAATGTACCTTGACATGCACTATTAAATTCATATAAATAATTTTTGAATCCTACGAGTTTCGCTGAATAGCAGAAAAATTTAATACTTTGTGGAAAAAAATGTTCAAAAGTGAGAAATGTAAAAACGAATGGAAGTCTTCAACGACTTCAATGACGTAAATCATTGAAGAGAAGTCTTATTTTTACAAAACCTTTGATGAAAGTTTGGTGGACTTGAATATTTTTCTACTCAATTATAATATTTACGTATAGATGTATTTACATATGTATATATAAATGTAGAGATATTGATATTCGTAATTTCTGCAAATACTATATTTGTTTTTCTCTTAATTTCGTTTTCAACAAATGCAAAAAATTATTTTTTATAGATTTATATATATATACATTTATATATATATAATAGCGTATATATTTGATTGATGCATTTTTAATGTGCATAACGAAAGCGCATTTTTAAAATTCATTTAAACATCATTTGAGCATTAAATCCTTGCAAAAGGATATAAAAATAGAGTAACACTGAAGCAATGACAAGCAAAGTAATTCAATTTATAAATATTTATTTAAAAAATGCAGATGATTTTTTCTTAATTATATGTTATTTATATTGAAGGTCTCAATAGCAATATACTATTGAGTATATGATAAAAAAATGGTAACTTAAATTATAATCAAGTAAAATTAAAGGAAATAACAAACCTGAAAACATATGGAGGAGTTATTATAATGCAAAAGATCTGCTGTCTATTACATATTTTTTACTTTGTTAAGTTCGTAAATTAAATTGGAAATTCTTCAAAACATTATATATAATAAAATTACAAGCAATTAAGGATAACATTGTTACTCATTCAACTTTGACGAAGCTTTATATTGACATCACATCCAAACTAATTTTTGTTGATAAAATTAAAATTTTTGATTTATTGAACATTTTTTATTATGATTTATTCATATTTTTTGCTTGAATTATTCACCAAAATAATAATTATTTTTTAGCAAAATGAGTAAGAAATAAAAAAATTTATTCACGGTTGAGTAGAACATTTAAGTTTCGAATATATTTTCTAAAAATTTGCCATAAACTAAATAAGCAAACACAGCTTTTTAGGAAGATATATATATATACATAAATGTGCCATTTCAGTGAGTCATAAAAAATACTTTTTTACTTGTAAAATAAACGCTCGAAAACATTGACACTGATTAACGTAAACGCTGGATTACTTTAGAAATTTTTTTTTCACATCTACTGCTCTAATAAGTGAACGAAGTTCTAAAACGTAAACCAAAATGTGAACTAATCAGTTCTCATTATCGACTTAACGATATTTTTAGGATTCAGTCCACAAGAAATAAGTAGGCTGTTCAAAAAGAATAAATGGAAAAATTAAATAACAATTAAAAAAATTTTTTAACGTTAGGTTCGAGGTTAAAACATCAAACTTCAGTTTAAGTTAAGAACTTCAAACAAATAAAAAATATAGTTAAATCGTAAAATCGAATAAAATTTCTTGAAATCAATAAATAGATAATAATAGCCCCGAGAAAACTTAGGATGGGAAGAGAATTCAAAATAAATGTTCTACAATTTTTTTATTAATCTCATCCAGTTGAAATATAGTATACTATGTAGTTAAAAGATCAATTTATTCTTTTATAAGAGGTTAGTTTTTTCCGAAATTTCTTCTTTATTCAAGACACCTCAAAACCTCGCATCTCAATATATGACGACCAAAACCTAACATATCATATGAGCAATAAAAAAAAATTAATCAAGAGATTTTTTAAATAGTAGTGAATTACAACAACAAAATTTTTAATTACAACAAAAAAAATTAATTGATATGTTTTTTGAATTAATTGAATTTTTAATTAATTGAATTTATGGCTGACCATAAAGCTGTTAGGAGTATTGCCAAATGTATCATGTATTAAGAAAATATTCTTCTATCAATTTTTTCTATTAAGAAAATAGTTTCTTTTAAAAAAGAAATATTTTTTTCTGTTAACAATATGAGCGTTTGTTCCAACAGCTTCTTTTATTATCAGGGTCGTTCTTCAAGAGCTACAAACGAAATAAAAGGCAATTATAAATTTTTCATTTCCAAATAAAAAACAGTTATTGATTTTTGTTTCATTCACAAACGAAAAACAGTTGACTGGTTTTTCGTTTACTATTCTTTTTGCATTGCCATTAATGATAATAAGAAAAGCTATATTGTGTCTAATTTGAGTTTATAGCGTGTTTTTTCTACAAAAGGTCTTATTTTATATATATTTTCTAACTTGAAAGCTGTTTTAGTATGAATCCATTACTGTTTACTTTAGTCAAAATTTAATTTCAGTTTCTTAGAAGCCAGATCCACTTATCTATTATTGAACATTCAGATTCAATTTTTACTTTCTGACTACATAAAATCGTTATAATCCATACAAATTTGTCTGTAATTCTTCATAACGTCTGTGAGATATTGTTAACATTCTTTTTCACTTCTAAAATTTCATTATTTAATAACCACAAATGTTAAGACATGATACAAATTTTAAAAGTCTTTTAAGTGTTCTCTGACTCTCGCTTCTTAGTCAACTCTTAGTAAGTCTAAACTTACGAAGAGTGGAGGAACTCCAGATCGTAATGTCTAACCACAATAATCGCTCCATAAATGTTTAGTGAAATTGATATCAACACGAAGCACTTCACTTTAAATGACAGTTCAAATAATAGAAAACTCTTAACTCTTCTGCTGAAATAGTGCAGTAAGAGATCCACAAACTAAACCTTATAAATATTTTAATGCAAAGTGTCATATCAAAACGTGTAACTAAATTTCATAAAAAGCATAAATATTTTTGAAAAGCAGCATTTTCTTCTTCTCAAGGAAACGAGTGAAAATATTTTGCATACATTATTAGACATCAACGTTAAAAACTAAAGTAGCTTAGAAGGAAAATATTAGTTACGACCAACAAATAACGAAAAAAAGGAAAAGCAAAAATAAATAGAAACTTCATCTGAAAATTGCAAACGATAAAGCAAAAATGTGAAATATGTCAGTGTGCCCGGTTTTATTATTGCATCACATGTGTGTATCCTGTGGCAGTGAAATGCACTTGTTTGTACAGTCTGTGCGAATTTATATCCCCAAAGGAACCACTAACATTTTAATAATGGCACAAAAGCTACTATGGCAGGACTAACGAGACAACTGCCAGTTACTCCAAGGTAGCCAGCGTACCAACGTACCAACGTACCAACGTACCAGTGCACCAATCCACCAGCGTGTGTGTGCTTATAATGCAAAGTAGCTTAAACTTTTGTTATAAAGTATGTGGTTCCGTAAGTGGGATATTCAGTTACAAGCAATTTCTGTAAAATGCATAAAGAAGTGGTGGCATTCTCATATGATAAGTGCATGTGCAGCCACTTTGGAACGGCACATATAAGCAAAGAAAAAATAAATGAAACTTTTCGCAAAATATGCAAACTATTCAAAATAATATTAGTAATATTAAAAAAAAATCACAAAATGAAAGCGAAAAAAAGGACAAAAATGGCGTACTGCACTGCACTAAAACGATGCGCACAATTAAACTTTGACTTTCGCATCCGGCAGCCATATTAACTGACAGCTTGGGCCTTACAAATATCAGCAACAGTCAAAGTAACTTTTCTAGTCACAACAGCGTCAAAATTTGATATAGAAAAAAACCCAAGCTGCCAACGAACAAAAAGTTTAAAATTACTAAAAGCAAAACTTTCTTGATGTATAATAAAATGGAAAAAATATATTGTATATAAATATATATAATACATTATATATGTATATAATATATTTATATAGGATTTTTGTATAAAAAATTCCATAAATAAGTTAGCACAGAAGCAGTCAAACCATTTCAACATTAAGCAAAATATTTGTTTTAACGCCATCCTTTTGTTGGCTTGAAAGGACTTCACTGCCTATTTCTTTGCTGCAAGTGGCTCAGTTATGTTAGCAGCTTGACACTTTGGGTTTTTTGTCAGGACATGAGGTTGCACAATTGAAAAAAGTATACCAAAATAACTTTTATTGAATGCAGTTTTTCTGTGCCTGTTGAGTGCTGTGACAGCTCGAATACTGAACTAAACTAAATTTTGCATTATTTAAAAAAGTACAAAACTTTGCAGTTATTAAATATCAAATTTTGGAGAGCAAAGAATTAAAAATTTTTCCAGGTTGAAAATATCAAAAAAAAAGTTTAATAAATTTCGATAATACAAAACTTGAATTGTTAAAATAGAAATCGAAATATTTGTGAATAAAATTGTTGAAATAGTTAATTATGAGATATATTGAGAATTTTTCTGATGAAGTAAAAAACAAATTTACGGATACGTATAGATATATACAAAAAATAACGATCGAAATAAAAGCTAAAATTCCTTAAAAAACAAAAGCGACTTTAAAATAGTTATTTTTTAAATAATTTTATAAAGAGGTTTTTTCGAACAGTAGTGAACTACAACAACAAAAATTTCTTTTTTATATTA